TCCAACTATATGCATGACATTTAACATATGCAAGTCTGTAAAAACATTTCAAAAACGATGTCATGGACTTAAACGTTCATAATAAATTCATTTAAAACAATATTGTTATCGTTATAAAAAAATAGATAACATGAATTTAAATAAAATAAAATAAAGTGTCGCTCATATCTAACTTAAAGGATATAAATTATGAGTGCAGCTATCACAACTTCACTTCTGTGGCCTTCACAGCAACACTGTCATCCTATAGGAGTATTTTAGCTTTACCTGGAAAAAAAAATAGCACGTGACTTGAGTATTTAAAGGTATTCAGTAAGTAACCTCAGTATTGAGGTCAGAAAATATAATCACATGCAATCGTGACCGAATCTATCATTTCATAAAATCATCATAGTTTGAACTTTATTTTTATGTTTGGGTGAAAATTGGATGTGTAATACTTCTTTACACACGTGCACGCGCATGTGGACATATCAAGTTGGCCTATTCGTACCCCCTAGACTTGCTCTTTAGCTAACACATGCTCACGTTGTCGAAGTCATGAAGGGAAAGAAGGTTGCATAATATCATGTTTGTATTCATTATAATGGGAAAGTATTCAGATGCATGTGACATACAAAATACATGAGGTCCTCATAGATTTAAATCATGACATAAACCTATGATGCAAGGCATAACTTCATTCTTTTCATGACATAACGTCTCTATGATATATTCATACATAATATTTGTCGTGTCTTTCATGATTACATAAATGGCTTCCTAATGTCTCATAGGCATAGGGTGACCATGTTGACATAATTTTGGCATGGCTTACGGAAGTTCATGCATCGTACCAGATCACTTTTATATATATAATTCCACAACATAACATAATCACATCATAACGTAACTTATAACATAGCTTCTATTATAGCATAATATATATCATGACATATGACATGTGTAAGGCCACAAAGCATGTGTCATTCATACGTCGTATAAGTCATCCAGCAAGTCAACAGTATAGCCACTTACTTGATTGACCTAAGTCGATGTTAATATCTTATTCTTGATGCTAATCCGAAAGTGTAATTTGCAATTTAAATCAAGATCAATTAACTCTACTTTTGACTAAAAAATAATTGAAATTGACCAAACAATGGTCATACTAACCTTAAACGCCTCTAAAAACGTCAAAATCGGCTCTAAGATGGTAAAAAAATGGTAAGACAAGGACCAAAGATGTCAAAGGGGTTCAAAATGGACAACTTATGTCGAGGATTTTGGGAGTGAGTCCCACCTTGGTTAATTTAGTGGAAGATCATAGGTTTATAGGTGAGGAATACTAACTCGATTGGTATGACGCCTCCTGAGAAGCCCAAAACAAAGTCATGGTGGACAATATCATACCATTGTGAAGAGTCGTGATTTTTAATCACTTAAACCAAATAAGCTGGATAAATTGAGTCGGAGCCATTGGAGCTGTCAAGCCAGAGCGGGAGCCGCATGCTGAAGGGTGAGTCGAGGACGAGCCACCGCAAGGCAGGTCGACGTGCGGGTCTTGGGTAGGTTCGGTTGCGGGTCAGCTTAGGGCTGGGTGAACAGAACTGAGTCGAGTGGGTCCAACTGAAATTGGGAGTTGGGTTGAAGACTCGACTAAGTTGTGAGGTGGCTGGACTGTAGGCTTTGGAAGCAAACTGGGCTGCATGTGAGTCGATTTGGGCCGTAGGTGCGTGGCTGGGCTTGCAGATTCTGAGCCTGGCTAGGTTTGGAACCAACCCTATGCCCTGAATGGTCTGCTTGTTGAAGCTCAGCTTCGGAGTTAGGCTTAGATTCCAGGTCTACCGCTTGTACCCGAGGCTACCGTTTATGAGAAAGTAGTATTTACTTAGTGGGTTTACGTGTACGTGTAGAGAAGTACAATAAGTAAAGTTCTTTGGGCTTTCCCTTTCGGGCTTCCCCTCAAAGCTTTAAAATATGTCACCCTTATAAATTGTGGTTTGTTCTCCTCCTCAATCAATGTGGGACATCACAACTTATATTTCCATTGATAGAATAGTATAGTAACGTTTCAATTTTAAATTCCAACGTAATTTCAATTGCTTTCCATAATAATAACGGAATAAAAATCGAAAACGAAATCGAAATCGAAATCGAAATCGAAATCCCGATACATGATTAGGTTTACACGTGAAGTCATACGAAAACTTTAGAAGTTAGAGAGGAAGAAGGAGGTTGGAAATGACATTAATAATTCTCCTTTTGTAACCATATGATTACATCACTCACATTTCTTCAAAGGAGGCTTCTTTTTTTCCCTTCAAAGCAAGGAAATGAACCAACTCCTACCCCTTACCCTACCAAACTCACCTACTCATAACCACCATTCATATATTATTGCTCTTTTAAGTTTCCGTTCACTTGTCATCGTTCTTCATGATTTCAGAATCAAATCGCTCCATTTTTAAGCTATTCATTGTTAATTCTAATTGAATATCGAATTCAAATTTTGTTTTCATAGTACGAAGGTACGAGAATTTGAATCTCTGACTTTAAAAAAAGAAATATAGTCAATGATCAAGAAATAAAATAACTAAACGACCCTTCGAACATATTACTTTCCGACATTGATACAAACCTATTAGACCCTTCAAGCATACCACCCTCCGAACATACTGCTTTCCGACATTGATACAAACCTATTAGACTCTTCAAGCATACCACCCTCCGAACATACTGCTTTCCGACATTGATACAAACCTATTAGACCCTTCAAGCATACCTCTTCCTATCTACTAGACCCTTCGAGCACACCTCTTCTCAAGACTGTCACAAACCTACTAGGCATCACATAACCTGTAACAACCTAGATTCACCGCTAACAGATATTGTCCTTTTGGGATTTTCCTTTTGGGCTACCCTTCAAGGCTTTCAAACGCGTCTGCAGTGGAAGGTTTTCACACCCTTATAAAGGGTGTTGTGTTCTTCTCCTCAACCAACGTGGGACATCACAATCCACCCCTTCTTGGGCCCAACATCCTCACTGGCACTCATTCCTTTCTCCAATCAATGTGGGATCGCCACCAAATCCACCCCCATTTGGGCCCAGCGTCCTTACTGGCACATTGTTCGGTGTTTGGCTCTGATACCATTATTGTAATGTCCCACATTGGTTGGAGAAGAGAACAAAACACTCTTTATGAAAACTTTTCCACATCAGACGGTTTTAAAGCGGAAAGTTTAAAAAGGACAATATCTGCTAGCGGTTAGTTGAATTGTATTAGATCAATAGACCATCCGGTCATAATCATTGGACTAAATGAAATTATTAGTATGTTATATAATATAATGTGTTTTCGAAAAAATAATCATCTAATAATTGAATAATGTACTTCCACTGTCACCTACTATAAAACTATCTTGTTTGTGAAGCCAAAAATATATCCCTCTCTCTCTCTCACAACAATGACGGTAAAGGACTGCGACCACCACCACCACCACCACTGCGAGCGCCGCCGTCTCTACCGCCGAATAGCCTGCGCCATCTTCACTGTCATCCTCTTGATTAGCCTTGTCATCTTCCTCATCTGGGCTATCCTCCGGCCGTCCAAGCCCCGCCTCATTCTCCAAGACGTCACCGTTTTCGGCCTGAACGTCTCGTCGGTGCCACCGGCTGCCATCTCGACCACCATGCAGGTCACCATCTCCTCCCACAACCCCAACTCCCGCATTGGTGTTTACTACCAAATCATGGATGTTTACGCCGCCTACCGCGGCCAGCAGGTCACTCTCCCGACGCTCTTGCCGCCGACTTACCAAGGCCACAATGATGTCACCATTTGGTCACCGTTTTTGTACGGCGAAGCTGTGCCGGTGGCGCCCGAGTTTGCTGAAGCTTTGAATGAGGATAATAACGTTGGAGCCATGCTGTTCAATATCAAGATCAATGGACAGGTTTTGCTCGTAGAATATATTTTATACAGTTGTAATCAGTATTTTTCTTTTTTAATTGTGTTGCACTATACTTTCCATCTTATTTATGTTGTTCATTCTTAACTTAATATATTTTGTCTCAACGAAACAGGTTAGGTGGAAGGTTGGGAGCTGGATCTCAGGCAGGTATCGGTTGAACGCGAACTGTCCGGCGTATATAAAGTTCGGTGATCCAAAGAATGGGATTGCATTCGGACCGGCGATGAAATTTCGGTTCGTTCAAGGTTGTTATGTCGATATTTGAGGTCCCAAGAGTCCACTTCTTGTATTTCCTTTTCCACGACCCTTATAAGTCTTTATGATCAACGAGATTTATTAGAATTATAGTTCTAAATTCTTTAAATCGACTACTTTTTATATGTATACACACATCATAGATCCGGGTGTACCTCGTTAGATTGAGGGAACTTTTTGGACCAACCTAAAAGTTCGGGTTCGTTGGATTAGTAGTCTAACCTAACTCAAAATTGTTTTGCAACTCAATCCAATTCTCTATTTTCATGTAGTTGAAAAAAAATTATTTTTTAAAAAAGCTTTAGTTATCCACGATACATTATTATTCAATAGAATCTTGGTTAAAAGATGTTAAAAGTTCATAAACAAACATAAATTCATCTGTAATCATTCAAATAAACAATTTTTTTTTATCAATATAGTCACAACAACACGCGAGAATTATAACACGTAACTACAGACAAATAAATATTAGTACTTATCAAAGTATTCGTTACTCTTAAGAAAATATAAGAATTGATTCTAAAATTAAAAAAAATAATAAAAAAATTAATTTAAATATATTATGTATAACAACACGAAAAACAAATATAAAAATATTTTATTTCTCGTGGAAGAGACTTATTTATGCATGACAATATTTGACTTATAATATAATATAATAATGAATCAAGATGATATAATAATGAATCAAGGAAGCCTTAGAAGCCCAATTCGTCGTATCCCATTGGGCCCGGCCCAAATCGTTCATTTAAAATAAAAAGAAAAAGAAAAAAAACTCCTCCCTCGACACTCAGTTTCACGGCGGCTCCCCCTCCTTCGGATCAGGCACTGCCGTTCTGCTCCCTTTTTCATCTCTGGATCTCAGGTATTCTTCTTAATTCCCATCTCTGTCTTTCAATCTTTCTTGTTTTTCTATATTTTGAATCCAATCGTCTGGTTTCGTTGTAACCGATTTTGCTCCTCAATGGGTTCATCCGATTTCTCACTCGAATATCAGCTTCAATTTACTTCTGGCCTGTTTGGAATTGCCAAAATCACTTTTGCAATTGCGCAGAGGATGAAATTGATTTTTGAAGTGTTAGTTGGTAGATGATTTTTGATAGGGTGACTGACCTGAAATCAGCTCCAAAATTTACCTGGATTTTATTCAGCTTGCCCATAAATATAAAAACACGATTCTCAGCCCTGAACAATTTCTTTGCTTTCGATTTTTTCGGCTTTCTCTCACCATTGTAGCATCTTCAGAGGACTCTTTCATCTCTGGCCGCTTTCTCTCTCGTTCTGCTGATCATTTCGTTGGTTTTCGCTGGTAGTTGTTAGCTTCAATCTTGTTTGGGTTTTGGACGTGTGGTTTCCACATTGATTGTGATCTGTTTGCATTATTCTTAAATTTTTGAACTAGGTTTTCAATTTGTTTATGTAATTTTGACCGGTGGTTTTGATTTGTGTTTCGTTTTGAACTAGGTTTTCGATTTGTTCCGTAATTGCTTCATTGATTAGGTTGCCAATTGTGTTTGTTTTTCTTACTTTTGATTGGCGGTGTGTTTCTGGAATTTGACGGCAGTGAGTTTTGTTTCTTTGGTGTGTTTTTGTTTGTGCTTTTGGTGGTATTGCATTGCTGGAGTTTGCCTTCATTTGTGAAGCTTTTCTGTTTTCGATTTTGATCTTACTGATGGGGCTTTTTTTTGTTAATTGTATATATGAAAATCCTTGTTGGAGCATTGTTAGTTGGAAGCTTTTGGCTACCATTATATTTCTAGGGAGCTTTTCTTTGGTTGTCATTGTTTTGATTGTGGTAAGATCAGTAATCTTCTACCATTTTGTTTCCTTCTCATCCTCCTCATCTTCCTCCTCATCTGATCAATAATCTTACCTCTCTTTCTACTTTTGCTTCTGTTTTTTGTGAATAGTTCATTTAGCTATATATATACTTTTTTTTTTTATCATAATTCTGGTGTGAATAGTTAATTTAAGTTAACAAATATTATATGTAAATCACTTCAAACCAAACATTCAAATGGCTATATGAAAATCACTTTGACAAAACCAATTGTAATTAGATATAATTTTATGAAATCACTGATACTACATGCCCTTCATGATTAAACCCATTTGAGTTTGAGCATGCTTGTTCTATCCCGTTTGGTTTTGTGTTCAACTCAATTCGGATTTTACACTTCTTCAGTTCTTATTTGTTTCCATCTTATTGGTTTTTTTGTTTCTCATGTTCTTCATTTTTGCGTGCAATCTTTTTCTGTTCTTAATCTCTTCGATTTGATTATTCTTTTTCTTCTCTTTTTGCACTTGTCCTATTGCCCTAGATTTCAATTTCATTTTCTCTGTTCTCTTCAATTTTGATTTTGCAAGTCCAGTCATCATCTCCACCAAGTGTTTTTCCAATTCCACCTGTGGTCATCTAGTCCCTGAACCCATATCAAATTGCTCTGGCTAATTTTATTGGAACAAAGGATTGAAATAGAAATTGTACTGAAAACTTGAATAACCAAAAAGGAAAAAGAAAAAGAAAAGGAAAATTTTCCAAAGCAACTTAGAGGGACCTCAACGTGAGCCAGTTGAAGCTAAGACAAAAAAATACACTTTTGGTATCTCAGGTTTGAGTTTTGTAGCATTTAGGTACTTAGTTTTCAAACTCAACAATTTAGTCCACGAGTTTGGATTTAGTTGCATTTTCGTTCTTCCGTCCAAATATTCGTCAATTATTAATGGAATGTTAGATGTAACATTTTTTATTAAAATTTTTTAATTTCTTGAAATAAAATTTTCTTTTTCCTTCTCTCCCTTCTCTTCTCTCATCTTTCTCCCTCCTCCTCACATCCTCCTCCTTCCATGGCTGCTGTTGCCGTCCACCATCATCACAACTAGTTGCCTCTTTCGACAGACCATAATGACAATCCGATAGCCTTTGATTGGCGGTGACAAACATAGCTTGCACACCCATGGCTTTACGACCCACTGATGATAACAATCCCTTAAATTTGTGACTCTAACCACTCCTCCCAATTGACGGTGACTTGACAATACTCACGAATTGGTCTGGCAAGGCAGTGGAAACCTGTGAGCTAATCCAGATTTCAGATCTGGAACAAACCCAAATCTGATTCTAGGAGGTGACCGTTGATGGCTTTGTTGTGAGGGGGCAATGACTGACAGTGCAAGTGAGAAGAGGCATCGTTTGACGACTTTGCTGCTGCAAAGATTATTCCTTGACGGAGCTGCTGCTGCGAATGTGCAACTATCAAAAGAGAAATAGATGAAGATAAAAGAGGGAGAGTGTAACAGCAGTAATACATTGGATCCCATCCGAATTCCGCAGTTAAGCGTGCTTGGGGCAAGAGTAGTACTAAGTTGGGTGACCACTTGGGCAGTCCTAGGCCATGTGGCCCTCCTTTCCGCACCAAAAACATTGACCCCAATGATTCTTTCCACATGGTCCTGTCGTCTTGTCTGTTTTCACTTCCCTGTTGACCACGCCTAAAATCGCGGCATTATCTGTTTGGTCGTCTCTGTGGCTGTGATGGAGACGAATCATGACGGTCAATCTGGTTATGACGTCGCTTCTGTCCCACTGTTGATGAAAGGGGTTCACGAGAACTATCAGCTCCCTCCATGGCCTTAGCTATTCTCAGTGTGGCAGCATAGGTAGTAGGCATTATCGCCTCAACAATATTGTAGATCCTCTTGTCTAACCCCAACACAAACTGCCTTGCTATTCTGTAGTCAGTGTCCACCAACTCCGAGGCGAAGCGATTCAACTTGGAAAACTCTTCAGCGTATGTGGTAACAGAACGCCCCCTTTGACACAACTACACAACTGGGTGAACTCTTGCTGTTTGCGAAGTTGAATATCCTCTGGGCAATACTCATCAATAAAAGCACCCTTGAATTTCGCCCACGAGATTGCACCTCCCTCAAGACTAATAATCTCGCGGGTGGATTGCTACTATAGTTTTGCATCATCTCGCAGCATGAATGCTGCACACTCCACCTTCTGATCTTTAGGATAGTTGGTCAAACACAAACACAGTCTATAGATCTCAGCCACATTTGTGCTACAGTCGGATCATTAGAAGTTCCCTTAAAGGCATGAGGGTCACCCATGCAAGCACCTTGCTTCCTTGGTCGATGATGAAGCATTTGCTTGTTGATTAACAGTTAGTTTTGTATAATAGTTTGCAATGCGTCCACCAGAGCAGCTGTTGAGTCTGGTGCGACCTGAGGTACCGCTGGTAGTGGGAATGACACAACTACATCAGGCTAATCTATGGAATCCTTGTGTTCTGAAGCTCGTCCTCTTCCATCCCTTCCTCTACCCCTAAGTGGGGGTCGTCCCCTAATATCTCCTCCTTGAGTTCTAGGTGACATATTTATACAAAGCACGTAACTACTAAGTCACATACTTATCTATCAGGTTCTATAAACATTCATAATAATACAAGCCACAAATACATACAGTCATAGCTTAAACATAGTCATCATACATGCCATTTCATATTTAGTCTTACCACATCATAAATCATGCTAACATTTAAAACATGTATATTATATCATACCAAATATCATTTAACTAATTAATTTTAATTCTTAAAAGGCATACCTGATGGCAACGGTGCGTTTGCGGGAGGACCATGTAAGTACACTAGAGTAGGCTGGTTTACAAGATCTATAAGTTAGGGTTCTAATACCAATGGTAACATCCTTAGTTTTCTTAACCTAATTAGTGATGGCAATCCATTGCATGCTTTAAGTTATAATGCAAAAATTCATATTAAATAACTTTGAAATAAAGCCACGATCTTACATAAATAGTTGAAAACATGGAAATTTAACTTAACTCAAGAAAACATTAACACTCAAATTAGAAATTCAAATGCAACTATTCATCCTCGAAATAAAATCTCAAACAAAACATCTATTGCCCTATTATGCCCCCATTTCAACTTCCATGGTCTTCACAGCATCCACCGTCATCCGTGCGGGAGCCTTGCCTTTACCTGAAAAAAATTATGGTAGCACGTGGTTTGAGTATTTTATGAAATACTCAGTAAGTCACCCCACTGTTGAGGTTAGATATGCAAAACATGAGTGGGATCTATCTTTAATAAAATTTACATAACCTTAGGCTCTTTTCTAGTTCGGGCAGGGTGGGATGTATGGTACTTCCCCACACACGGCCCATGTACATGCACATGGGCCCACTAGGCGGACTCATATACTACACCTGGACATGACTTGGTCAGGCACAACGCATTACACGTCACTGGACGCCACAAAAAAGCTAAGGCCTGCATGATTTTATAGCAAACATAAATATCAAACGTGCGTCGTACTATCATAATATAAAGGGGAAGTATCCCGATGCATATGATATACAAACATGCATGAGGTCTCATGATTTACATTTCATGACATAATACTCAATACCTTTCATTACTCTTACGCATTTCATATTATAATTCATGTATGGAACATGTATAAATGACAACATTTTTCAGTCCATCACACTCATTACATATTAGATTTAAATATCATTTATAGCATTTCAATTCATTTCATGAAAATAGGGTAATGGATTAGATGCATACGTAGCAAACATTTCTTATCAATACAAAAATACATAAACATTGCATAACATAGACATTTCACATATAATATGATGCTACAGGAGATGCACCATCATATAATACACTAAGCTAACACCAATAGTAAGGTCTGGTTGATCTTGGCCGAAGTTACTCACGATAAGTTAAATGTTACAATTTATTTATTTATTTATTTTTATTTTTGGAAAACCGAATCGTTACAATTAGGCTGATTATTCGGCTTTTTTTTTTTTTCTTTCCATTTATCTTGTAAACCAAGTCATGAAGGCTATTTTACCGTTTATTCATTGTTGGCCAATATTCTGACAATTTATTTTCCTCATAGCTGCTTTACATTTTCTGCCCATATTTAGCAGCTGACGAGGATTGTAGCCAATGTTTAAGAATTAGGCCATTGTGTTCATACAATCATTCAGGACCTTAAAAAGTATTTTTATTTTGTTTAATCTTTCCTGGTAGAGAATTGGTGTTTTATGCATATGGAAGAATTTTGTATGTTTTATGCATCAATGAGGTACATTCAAGTCTTCACAGGAACAGTTAGACATTAAAAATGAGCAAGTACGGCCTACAACTTAGAGTTAAGCCATCACAGCAGAAACAGCCTACAAGACCGCCCCTTCCTGCTCCTCTTGGATTTCAAGACGACGACGACGACGATGTAGAGAGAGAGATATCCCGACAAGCTTCCAAGAATAAGGCACTTAAGGATGTAAGCTAGCTTGTATATGACTGTGTCATTAACAACAATATCGTGGTCGTATGCTACCCTTAATTTTATTTTTCTCCCTTGAAATATCAATGTAGATCGAGGAGCAACACAAGAAAGCACTAGCGGAAGATCCGTCGGTTTTCGATTACGATGGAGTCTACGATGAAATGAAAGAAAAGGCTGTTCTACCTCGAGCATATGATCGTGAAGAGCGAAAGGTATGTTTATAATTTGATCCCAAACCTGTGTGAAAATACAGTATCACCCTAATATAACGCTCTGCCAGTGTGGTGAAATTACTTATTTGCTCACTGCCTTTTCTATTGCAGCCAAAGTATATTCAAAATTTGATGAAGAAGGCAAAAGAGCGAGAGAGAGAACAGGAAGTTATATATGAAAGAAAACTAGCCAAGGAGAGAAGCAAAGATGATCATCTTTATGCTGGTAAGGACAAATTCGTCACTAGTGCCTACAAAAAGAAACTTGCAGAACAAGCTAAGTGGATGGAGGAAGAACGTCTTCGACAACTTCGAGAGGAGAAAGACGATGTATGCTTTAACTTTGCACACTGTTTCTTTTTCTTTTCGTTTTATAATTTTATAAGTTATTACACTTCGCTAAATGCCCTTCGTGACAAAATGAGCGAGTATAAGTTATTTGTGACTGAACGAGGAACATTGAACCTAACGAGGGTCCTAATATGCCACCACTAATAAGGGTCCTAATATAATCACAAAATGATTTAGGACCCTTGTTAGGAACATTGAAACATTGAAACATTCTTTATAATGGTGTGGAAATTCCTCCCTAGCAGACGAGTTTTAAAAATCTTGAGGGGAAGTCCGGAAGGGAAAGTCTAAAGAAGACAATATCTGTTAACGGTGGGCTTGGATCGTTACAGCAATCTATTATCTTATTCTTGGGTTATCTTAAGAATTGCTTTATGCTTTCGTTAATGTGTGTTTTTCATTGACAGCCAATTGTCTGATTGTTCCTTTCCTTCTAATTTGAAGGTTACCAAGAAGAGCGACATTAGCGACTTTTACTTCAACCTTCAAAAGAATATTGCCTACGGTGCCGGTAATGCAGTCGAGCCGAGGGAACCTCCACAGAAGCTTCAATCAGAGAAGCAGGCTGAAGTCCAGAAATTGAAGAAGCATGAAGAGAGTGCTAATGCCGATATCGTTAATGATCATCAGTCACCGAAATACCCCAGCTCGCCTTCCCAGTCAGCAAAGACAATAGAACAGGATCGTCACCTCGAAGAGCACCTTTCGAATTCAAACAAAACAACACCGTCTGATGTACGAGGTACTAGCCCCCCTCCATTACACAATAGAACTCCAGTTGAGAAACAGCCCGAACATGACCAAGGTGAACAACAACCAAAGCGCGATCATCATAAAAGAAGTGAAGATGCTGTCGCTGCTGCAAAAGAGCGATTTTTGGCTCGAAAAAGAACAAAGGAGGTGTGAAATACTTAACCTGGATGGATTAAACTGAGGACAAATATGTAAATGTTATTGTTCTATGGATGATAGTTGATAGTTATGTTCTTAATGGTCAAATTTATCTTGGATCTCTGGCTTTGACATCACATTTTTGTTTCGTGGTTCATGTGAGAATTCTTGAGTCGAGATAACAAGGAGAGCAACGGATGAAGCCGGATGACGCAGCTGCTCGAAGTTGCAGCATCTCCGTCGAAAGTAAGTAAACCAAGTTATCATTTGTTAAGACGTATATAGGCAGATTTCTTTCCCAGCTGTTGTTTTCGGAAACTTCTGGATAGGGATATCACGTCTGAACGGAATTCTTTTTGGTTAAAGAATCCCTTTCAAGTTGCTCCGGAACAATTAAGAGATCTTCTAGAAGGCCGTTTAGGCCTTGAATCCTGTCCTGGACTTTCCATCGGTGGTCTGACCTTGCTGAAAGATAGGTCATGGGTGCAAATGAGCGATCTATTTTTGAGTCTTGAAGCAATATTTCCCTTAAATGCATATCCAGCTTATTGTGAACATCTCATTTTTCTCTTGAAACAAATCCTTATTAACCTCGATTTCTTATCTTTTCTTTTCTGAACCTATTCTATTGGTCATGCTGAATTTGACATCCCTTATCTCTTAAAGCAACAAGAAAGGAGTAGGATGCACGAACCTCCTAACATGTTTTATTGTTGCATTAAATGATGGGCGGTTGGTTGCGTGTAGAGGGAATGTCATTTTGAAACATGTGATTTAGATGTCAAGACATTGGACATATAAATTCTTGCCTAGCACGCCAAATGGCATAATAATTGGTGTAATAAAGTAGGGAGCAAATCATTTAAAGCAAATCTTTCTATCTTATCATCAGCATAGGAAATGATTCTAATGATTCTGTTCTTTGTTAGAACCCGAAAATTGAACAAAGCTCCTCAACGAACTCATACCATAAACACTCACTCAATTGCTTATTAACATACCTAACCAACTTTGTTTTGATGAGGAATGCTTACACGCATCTTTGTGGCCATAATATGCTCCTCTTGTTCAATAATACCACGTCTCTTAACATGGTCCAAGCTAGAGGTTGATGTTCATATCTATACAAGTCTAGTACCAAACAAGAAAAATTAAATGTATAAATTGATAAGACAACGAAAATTAATCAATTTTGTTGATGAAAGAAACCATTTTATGGTTCTGGAGAGTGAGAAGATTTGTACCACTTTTAAAAATTCAAACTCAATTAATTTCTTATAATTAATGATATAATTTTTTTCCAAAAAATGAATTTGATACGTTTCTATTCTAGTAGTTTGTTTTTTCCTTTTCAAACATTTTGAATATTCTTTTTTGTTGTTGCCGCTGTGTTTTATAGTTCTCGAACTTTCTATTATGTAATAGATTAGTCTTGCATTGGATCCATCCGGCTCAAAATCCAATGAATCGATAGTTAACTATTTTTTTAGTGATTGCCATCGCAAAGCTAGTCGTTGCCAGCTCTAATGGTTGAAAATATCCAAACTTGCTTACCCACCCCACCTCATACGACTAGTTTGGGGGGAGGGGTTGGTTGTTCGCCTTTTAGAGACACCTAAAAACCTCACATTCGAAGGAAGCATAAAAAATTCTCAGCGCGCAAGAATTAGGATTATTGTACCTATCATAATCCATGACGTTCTTTTATGAAAATTTCAATTTTTTTACACTATGTCCAATAAATACGTCAATTTTGAAAAATTCAAACAAATTCAAGGTCAAACTAATCGATATTTTAACCTTTTGAATATTTTAATTTTTTTTTTAAAAGATGCGAAAAACACCTCATTTAAATAAGATGAACTCGAATTTTGATTTGATTTGTCGAATGATTGGTGGTAGGTCACTGAACTTGATAGGGTTGAGAAGTCATATCATAAACTTGTGAATCAGAAGTCATATTGTGTCCATATCAAAGGAGTTAATGAGTTGATTTTCAAAACCAAATTGGATATTCCTACCGGCAAAACTCAAAGGTCAATGTTCAAACTTCGTATTAAATGATAATTTAGACATTGTGAATTGTATACTCCATGTTTGGCCGTCTTTCATCTCTTATAAATCATATACAGCTTCCAATTGTTGATACAAGATTTGATCCTTCAATTCTTCCTTCTTCTCTTTTCTCCGTTTTTCCATTGAAGAACTCTAAATTATGGGTCGAAATTTCAACCATCCGAAGTCAGAACCGATACTGCAAGATTTGTTTTTGGCAGGATCTAGCTCGAAAACCGAGGACGCTACGACATCGGTCATGGTGCTACTAGGATGTACTCAATGCCTCATGTACGTCATGTCGTCGAAGTTTGATCTCAAGTGTCCCAAATGTAATAACACTACGTTGCTCGATGTTCACAATTTGGCCAATCAAGCATCCAAGAAAAATCTTGTTGACATGTCAATCGACGTTGCTAAATGAGGAGTTTATCGACATGTCCATTGTAGTTACCTTCTTTACCTTTATGTATACTCTTTTACTTTCGTTTCTTAATTCTTAAATTAGCTTCCTTGTTCGAGCACTTTTTTTTCAATTCATTCTATGTCATGGTTCTTTTAAAGGAACTATTTGATATTACTAAGTATCTTCGAGTCATGTCATATCATGTTAATTGATAATAATGAAAGACATTTTTTTTTTTTTGCTCGAAAGTTGATTTGGTAGACTCGAAACTCTCTCTCTATATATTTTTAGTCAAATTCTCAACTTTAGTCATTTTCAAACGGTACAAAATTTCAAAAATGAAATGGTTGTGGGTTAAGTAGAGAGAGAGCAAAAAGAAGAGAATGAAAGAACAAAAGAATAGAGAAGAAAAGTGATGAGGATTATCATTCATGGGCGTTGATAAGATCATTTCATTTAGTAGCACCTTAGGATGGCATAGCCTTAAAGTTAAGGGTGAGGCTCAAATGAAGAAAGACTTACGGTGGATACCTAGGCACCCAGAGACGAGGAAGGACGTACTAAACAACGAAATGCTTCGGGGAGTTGAAAATAAGCGTATATCCAGAAATTCCTGAATAGGTCAACCTTTCAAACTGCTGCTGAATCCAAGAGAAAGTAGGGAAAAATGAAGTAAATAAATAGATCATATCATAAAAAAAAAAAAAAATTTGAAGATGCAATCTCGAATATAATCGAATGCCATTAACATGATTGAGGTATTGTAGTGATTGACCTTCAATCTTGATGGTTATGTAATCATGACGACGACGATGAAAAAAAAAACAGTTGGACTCCACTGTAAAAAAGAGAAGTTAGTTGGAGAATACATTTTTTGATAGCTCCAGGCGAGCATTTTAGCTGATCTAGCTTGGATTTGATAAGTTTTAGATAGCAGCGTTAAGCTTGCATCAATGGGTATAGTAGTTTCGCTCTGCGAACTAAGTAAGTGGCCCTACTATCGATCCGGTCGAAGACTTGTCTTATGTATGATGACACGTGGCTAATGGCCCTTGCACATGTCATGTATGATGATATGATATGTTATGATGATGTGATATACTATGATACTGTGATATGTTATGATGTCGTGATATATTATGATGATGTAATATGTTATGATGATGTGATATGCTATGATGGTATGATATGTTATGATAATGTAATATGCTAAATGAGATGTATGACAATATGATATATTATGACGTTATCTCATGTTACGATGATAGACATGTATAAGATGTCATGTTGCACTATTGTATGACATGCTACGACATGTATGACAATGAAGAGTTTTCTGATACACAACCTGTAAGTAATATTATGAATGATGAATGTATGAAAGATTATGCATGTTGCCTAGGGTAATATGTGAATAATGTGTGGAGTTGTGCCACATGAATGTTTAAGATAAAAAAATATAGGAACTTCGTGCATATTATATGTTCATTTACATCGGGATACTATCCCTTATATGATGAGTACATACGCGTATACTATGATGATGACGACTACTATCATGCTTGACATGATACACGACAATCATTGTACCTCCAGACGTCTGTCTAGCTACAACCATATAGCCGAACCATGTAGGCCTAGGGTGTGTGCGAGCTTGTCTAGTGGGCCCATATTCGCACGTGTAGGTCGTGTGTAGGAAAGTACCATACATCCAATTTGTTCGAATTGAAGGCCACTTAAGAGATTATGATTTTAAATGATAGGTCTCTATTCTTGATTGCATGTGTTTGCATTTCTTGGCTACAACAGTATTTCTTAAAATACTCAAGTCATATTCTACTTTTATATTTCAAATAAAGTTAAGACACTCTTGTACGGTTGACGGCGACATCACACGAAAGACCATAGAACCTGTATAGGATAATTGCATTTATTTCCGTAGATCTTAGGTTAGTATAGGACATTACTTTTTTTAATATTTTCCTTTGAATATTTTTCCTTATGTTGTTAAGATCTTTTCATAGTCCACGAGATTGTATTATGAAGTTACGTTAGACATATGGTAGCGATTTTAGGTCAGGCATATGGTTTGCGAATCTAGGTCAATAGAAAATTTGGGTCGTTACAGGTCATTTCTCGAGATCCCTAATCTCATCTATAGCAACAAAATGATGCCAAAAAAAAAACAAACAGATACATACCCAAAAAGAAAAAGTAGTTGACATGGACTAGATGATCGGATGAATCTTCTTCATATTTGGTGAACAATAGCTGACCTTGCAAAACCCTCCACAACCCACCATTTTTCTCTACTAATTGCACATATTCACACTAGCTTTGTAGCCTCGAGACCAACTTTAAGAGTGGACTTAGAAAGAACATCTCGTGAGATGAGTATTTATCCAATGAGGTTGGAGCTTACGAGGATCCGTTCCGAATGTAGTGGAGAATTTTCGTTTAAACAGGAAATAGGGAGAGATTTCTTCTCGTCACATAAACGAGCCTAAAGACGGAGATTGTATTCTCCATCCCCACTGAATTCTCCGTCCCCACTTTTTTACAAATTATAATAAATTATAATAAACGAGCCCAAATTTTTATTTCAGTTATTTTTTTTTTTTGGCAAACAAGTCCAAATTTATAAATTAATATCATTATTTATATATTACTATTTAA